ATTTGATAGGATAAATTTTTAATATTAAAGTTTTTTTTCAATAATTTTTATTTTATAAATATTTTTAAATTATAAAATATGACGTTCAACTATTATATTATCTACTTAAATTTTATGTCATTAGAAGTTCAAACTACAAAATATGACATTTAATTGTTATATTATCTATTTAAATTTCATTCCATTTGAAGTTAGGTGTTTTTGGCTAAATATAAATAAGGGTTACTTTTTAATTTTTTAATATAATTTTAATATCAAAAAATACATTAGTTGCATCTTAGCATACATGTTCCAAAGTGCTTATAAATATTGGGCATTAAGCGGTTGGCTTTTCTTCAGTGGTGGTTTAGCTCTGAATGATACACGTTATTGATAACACACCCTTCCTCTTCCTCTTCCTCTTCTTGTTCTGATACAGCGTAAGAACATCTTAGTGTGTGAGAGAAACGCTCAGAAACAAACACATCCAGAAAAATAATCTCAATAGAGAGAAAAATACCAAAATGTTTGCAGGAGAGAACGGACCACAGGAAGACCCAAGATTGAAGGCCATTTCTGATGCCATTCGAGTAGTCCCCCACTTCCCCAAACCAGGTATCCATATTGTTTTTCTTTTGGGTCTGCACCATAGTTCCATGCTCTGGGACAGCAGAAGAGAACTGGGTTTAGGAGCAAACTCTGAGTAAATTTCATGTTGTTAAGTTTTTGGAGTTTATTAGATTGTTTCTTCTTTCCCCTTGTTTATTGGGATTTGCTTTAGGCATTATGTTCCAGGACATAACTACACTGCTGCTTGATCATAAAGCTTTTAAGGATACTGTGGATATCTTTGTTGATCGCTACAGAGATATGGGTGTATCTGTTGTTGCTGGTAGGTACTCTTTGTTGATCGCTACAGGCATAATGGGTTTTATGATATTAAGTGTTAACTTTATGTGCTTTTGGTTTGCACTTTTTATCGGTTAGATTCATTGTACTGAAAATTTATGTTTTTAAATTGATTTCATGATTCGAAAAGTTGGGATGTATTACTTAAAAACAAGTGGATGTAATGCAATCTTTTATTCTTTTTCATGTTTAACAATTAGTGGGTAGGTTTAAAGCTTTTAAATTTATTACTCTTATTTTAATGAGAATGCAATGATATGGTTATATGAAAAGTGAATAATGGTTTTATCAAGGTCCTACAAATTTCATCACTTCTATTCTTCATAGAGTTCTAGTTAAATTTTATGCAGTCTCATGTGGTATTTGTCAGAGAAAGGTGTCAAACCATTGCAAGTGTATACATAGAATTTTAGTTGATTTTCAAGTTGTTTCTTTTGCAATCCTTTGATGGTTGCTTACCATGTCAACTTACATTGTAGGTGTTGAAGCCAGGGGGTTTATGTTTGGCCCTTCAATTGCATTGGCTATTGGTGCCAAGTTTGTTCCTCTACGTAAACCTAGAAAATTGCCAGGTAAACTTGATGTGTGCATGTGTTAGATGGAAAGAAAAGTTTTTGTGGTCTTGATGAGTTTGATGATTGACATTGTCTATACAAACTGTTTCTGAGTTGTAGATAAAAAGGAAGCTAACTCTTAAAGGCTTATTATAGCAAAACAAGTTAATAAAGCTAGACCGGAAATTTGAATTGGAAACTGTAAACTAATCTATTGGAATAAGTATCTAAAATAAATTTATTTGAGGACCATGCTTAGATACCCAATCACATAACTAGAAGCTAACAACAAATATTTTGTTGATTAGTAAAAAAAAGGAAAAACACAAATAAAAGTAAAACTTAACAACAAATATTTTGTTTTGTATGAAATTGGATTTTTAGTACAACTGATCACACATGCTCAATTTTTCACCATAACTTACAGATTTCACTTGGTTATAAGGCTTAAACTGCATAGAAAATCATTAAACAAAAGGGATCAATAACCTTGAAGTCCTCCACAAGTCCATTTGATTGGCCTGCTTAAAGTAAATGCTTTTCCTTTCTTTTCCCTTTTGCTTCTTTTTCTTGGGAGCTTGACATACATGTCATCATATCCCTTTTAGGTTCTAGTTTTGCCAGCTCTTAACTAGCTTACAAGTTGAACTTCAGAAAGACTTTTGGGTAAGCTTATAAATTTTATTCATGTTTAAAATCAAGCTGCAAGCTATGCAACTTTACTCACCTGGATTATAATATGGTATTTTCTTTTGGTTTCTTATTTCGAATGGAAAGGAACACTTATGCTCATAGTGATTTGCAGTCTTTTCACTTGTATTTTCCCAGAGCTTCAAAGGTGCACTACCTACTTTTAGAACCTCTGATATTCAAAACACTTTTCCCAATATATATATTGAGTTAGAAGCTAGTCTCAGAAGTAAAAGGGGGTGAAACAAAAGTTCATTCTTAGGAAAACTTGCACATATTTTTTTGTTTCCAAGAGCAGAAACTCCAATTTCAAGCTCCTATTTTAAAATTACAAAGAGGGGTGATGTCAATGGTTCAGCAAAGTCACACAATATTCCAACAGTAAAGATCAATAGTTCCATTATAATATGTATTTCCCTATGAAAGTGGTAAAAGCAGGGAAAATTTTCAATTTTGAGCTGTAATTATTTTCCTTTGGTAAGTTGAATTGATTATTTGTAGTTTGATTTTTAAGTTAAAGCTTTAATATCATTGCGTCCCTTGTTCTGTTTATTTAGAGTTGAGTCCTTCATTATTTAACACATTAGGGGAAAAGATCTTTGAAGCATATGAACTTGAATATGGCACCGATTGTCTGGAGATGCACATTGGGGCTGTTAAACCTGGAGAACGTGCTATAGTCATTGATGACTTGGTGGCAACAGGTGGGACACTCTCTGCAGCAATACGACTTTTAGGTATAGCCTTGTCTTCATGTATGCAATCCCTATATCTGTTTCATTATGTGTACTTTGACTGACTGTCTGATTCTCAGAGCTTTATATGGCTAAAGATCTATGTTTGGACTTGTTACCAGAACGTGTTGGAGCTGAAGTCGTCGAATGTGCATGTGTTATTGGGTTGCCTGAGGTTAAGGTAATGGATGTTAGACTTTTATATGCATGTCTTGTGACTTATCATAACCAAAAACATGCTAGAACCCCTGGTTCAGGAACTAGGCTTCTCCTTCTATCACTGCTGCTGCTACTCTTGCTATGAGAAAGGTGTTAATTCACTAGAAGAATATTCTTGGGAATTGGATTTTTTTTTGGGTTTATGATTAATAATCTAATTATAACTCCATTAGCTTGATAAATCTCTTGATTAGCTTTCCTCAGATTATACCACATTGAGCATTTGATGGCTTTGGAAGATACTTTAACTAGTTCTTTGGGTATCCTTATCTCTACCTTCCATGAGGGTATTCTCCAACCAAGTCAATTTGCACATACAGATGGCTTTGGTTTTGCTTGGGTGGTCAGCAAACATAAAGCTAACAGGCTCTTTCTTTGTAGATTTAAGCTGTTTAGTTTCCATTACCTTGCCCATGACTGCCTTCATCTCATGGTGCATTGTCACCTTATTGGCACAACATCGAATGGGTCATTCGTTGGTTTCAAAGAAAATTTACTTAAATTATTTTTATTATTTTCATTTGGGCAAATCATTCTTGTGCTACTGTTAATATTGTTGACCGTGCATTTGGAATCCTGGTTCACTAAATGAAATCACACTCTCCACAGGGACATCATAGATTAAATGGAAAGCCCCTGTATATTCTTGTGGAGCCACGCCAGTGAACTAGCTGTACTGGTAAATATTTTACATCTAATGTCATGTTATGTGTATATTAAAATAGTAACATTTACTATTCTTTTTTTAAAATTTTTTTTCTGGAAATTGGCAAAATGCATAAAAGTTTTCAATTTGTTGTCTATAACCTTCAATAATAAGCTCTCTACCCTTGTTTGTTTGTTTTTTTTTTTTTGAACATGACGAATTATGGGGGATTAGGGAATTTTTTCAAGTAGTTAGTAGAAGTCGAACTCTCAATTTCTACCCTCGTTTGTTGCTGCCACTTATACGCTGATTAATGGTTGGCAATTTCATTTTCCAGATTGACATGGCTTAGACATGGAGACAACATGATATATGCGTGTTCCTGTTCTCCAACCACATAATCCCGAATAGGGTTATCCCAGTTTTAATTTTTTTGTTGTAATCTTCTTTGCTAGGGTAGATGTTGATGTTTCTTTTGTAGGCCTTTTTTCCTTTTAGCTTTCTGTAATTCAATTGATCATGGTTCAGTGTTATTATGCATTTTCCTTTGTCATTTCTTAAATCTATTAACAATTGGCATCAGCAATGACAAAATTTGAGAAGTTAAACATAAACTAAAATAAAAAAGTGAAAAGGGCCAACCACCTAAGTAGTAATATTTTTTCAATAAAACTAAAAAATTCTGAATTTAAGTGATATGAAATGGACATGGGGTAGGTTAAAGGATTAAAAATGACTTTTTA